ATGAGTGAAATAGCATGAAGTTTGTTATTTGTTGATTATAATTATAAAAAGTGAATTTTTTAATTAAGTAATACATTATTGTTAAATTTTATAATGATAGAATATAATTAACTTAAGGGTTTTTTTAACTTGTGCCCTTAGAGCACATGTTAAGAGTCTTGAAAAAATAAAAAGATAATATTTAATTTAGCAATTGTCCAATTAAATTTATTTACATAATATTAACACTAAAATTAATGTTTACTTTTACATTTTTCTATATAAATTTATTGCAAAAAGGTAGTCTAAGCACATGTTAGAAAAATCCTTAATTTATTTATATTTTTTAAATGTTAATATAATTGAGGAATATGTATTCATAATATTGATAAAGAAAATTTATAAATTTTTATTTTTTTTTCAAAGTAAAAACTTATTAGTAACATACCACTTGTAGATAAAATATTTTCAAAATGGCAATTTTTAATATCATCGATGTGGAATAGCTTGCTCATTGGCATGAGGCGTGCATGCTTGTACTTATAAGATTATCAGCAACAAGAAACATGTTGCTGAAAGTGACTAGATAATCAACAATAAGGAATTTGTTGCTGAAAGTAAGATTCTTTACTGTTCACATAAGAATCAACAATAAGAGATACGTTGCCAAAAATGGGGTGGGCTTTACTATTTATGGTATTATCAGCAACAAGGAACTTGTTGTTGAAAGTAGAATACTAAATTATCAGTAACAAGAAACATGCTGAAAAAAGGTGCCACAATTCCAATCACTGGATCCGACGACTATTTTAGCAACATAAGCTATGTCAATGAAACCAAACTTTCACTGACATGGTTTATGTTGCTATAAAAGGTGTAAAATTCTGATGGCCGACTCTAGTGACTTTTTTACCAACATGAGTCATGTTAGTAAAACTCCACTTTTAGTAACAAGGAGTATGCTACTGAAAAAGAGGCCATGAGTCAATAACGTGAAGCTTGTTGCTGATGTATTACTGACCAAAACTTCTCCAACAAAGACATCAACTACATGGTTCTTGTTGTTGAAGTGTTTTCAACAACATGGGCACCACTTTCATCGACATAGTACCATGTTGCTGAAAAGAGGGATTTTAATAGTGGTCTAACCATGGGTGCATTTGTGACATGTTAGCTTGCACAAAGGTTGGTTAGCATGTAATATTCATCATTCTCTTTAGTGATTTTTAGTGTATTGTAATGATCAACTTTTTCTTGCATTTATCTTTACTTATATGGATGTAAGACCATAGTTTATGTGATAAAACGTTCCTTAGCATATGCGTTTTTTTTTTTTTTTTTAATGTTGGTTGCATAACGGAAGGCAACAAACACTCTTTCATTTCTTATTTCACCCCACTTGCATGTTATGCGAGTCAAATTTAGAATTTCTTATTCCCACTTGCATGTTATGCAAGTCGAACTTAGAATATCTTACTTTCAATGGAATGAGATTACCACTAAGTTACTTAGGTCGTTGGCCTTAGTATATGTGTTATGACTTTATATTTTAGTAGTAATATTTTAACTTAGCTAAAAAAGAAGAAGAAGAAGAAGGTTTCTACTCAAGTTTACCTTGAATTCCTTCAAGATTCAGTCGTACCCTTCAAGCCTTATTTCATTTTTCTTTCGTGAAGATTGAGCTTGTTATGGATCAATGTTGAATAGGTTTGATGGGCTTTGATGCCCAATTGCCCATGTCTGTACCAGGCCTCGTCTCGTGGGCTAGACGACGTTGCCAGACGGGTCAAACTAAAACTCAAATTCAA